GCGTGACGCTCGGGGTGGGTTATAACAGACAGCGTGACGCTCGGGGTGGGTTATAACAGACAGCGTGACGCTCGGGGTGTGTTATAACAGACAGTGTAATGCTCGGGGTGTGTTATAACAGACAGCGTGACGCTCGGGGTGTGTTATCACAGACAGCGTGATGCTCGGGGTGGGTTATAACAGACAGCGTGACGCTCGGGGTGTGTTATCACAGACCGTGTGACGCTTGGGGTGTACTATAACAGCCAATTTAATATCTGTACCATTGCCTGTTATGTTTTGTCAGTTCTGGTATGTGTTCTCCCTTCAGATTTTTAACATTTCTACCAAGCTGAAGCAGACAGACCTGGATTACCTAGAGGTATGAGCTCTTACAGTATCTATGTTTCTCCCACACTGAAGACCCAGGCTCTATTCCCGGCCTTCGCCAGCTGATCTCTGCCCCCGTGGTACGCCCACGATTTGTCTCATGACCCTGGGAAATAAATCTCATCCTTCTGGTGGGTAATGACCGAGCTTTGTTCCCCTTCTAGCTCCCATCAAACTCTCTGGGAACACGCTGTGACCATCGCTCGGCTTGGTTTTCACTCACTTGTGTGGTGTAGGCTTTACTGAGTGAAAGCTCCATTAGTACGCCTGCCCGCTCGTCGAACCCCCCCACCCCGAGGAGGTAGGGGACTGAGCCGCCATCTGGAACTGCTGCAGTCATTCCCCACCCCCCTGGGACACGGTGGCATTCGGGAGGGAGTTCCTGAGGTTTTGAACCCGGAGGAACGGCTAATGTTGTTCCCACTTGGGATGTTGGTGTTGGTGGGTGGTCTTGGAGGGTCTTCTCTCCACCCCCACCCCCTCACCCCCACCGCATCTGCTGCCCCTCTGGGCGGCGTGGGGTAAAAGGTGCCAGGTTTGGGGTAGGCGCTATCGGTGGATGAGTCACTGCGGTGGGTCTTGTGAATGGTACACACTGCTGCGGCTGTTCCTGAGGAGGGAGGGGGTGTCGAAGGTGTTTGGGAGGGCGCCAGGGTCAGTGTCTTGATCGAGCTGGGGGGGAGTGGACAGGCCGTTTTGTCCCTGGACGGTGTCGAGCTTCCCAAGTGCTGTCGGAACTGACCCCGTCCAGGGTGAGTGGGGAGTATTCCCTCCCCCCTCCTCCCTTGTGCCTTGTTGATGGTGGGACAGGCTTTGGGAGGGATTGGGAGGGGAGTTGCTCGCTGCAGGATTCCCAGCCTCTGACCTGCTCCCTGTAACCACAGGATTGATATGGGGCTGGGGTCCCGGGTCAGTTTCTGCTCAATGGGACCCCCCAGGATGTTGATAGTTTGGCTGGGGGGGGGGGGGGGGGGGTGGAATTCAGTGATGGGAACGCCATTGAATGTCAAGGGACAGTGTTTAGATTCTCTCTCAATGGAGATGGTCGTTGTTACAGAGAAGGGGAATGTCGAAGCCCTCTGAAAAATAACGCCAGCCCCAATCTGTTCCGGCTGGAGCAGAGGTTCCCGTCCAGTAATTAAACCTGAAACACCCAGAGAAGCTCGCCATGCCCCTCATCATCTCTTCAAAGCGTGGTTAAAGAAAAGGAATCCCTGAATCCCTAACGGTGAACAAATTAGTAGAATTACTAACAATCCTAACAATTCCCCTCTAACTGCTAACTATTCCCTGACCGAACAAACTTATACTGAGCTGCTATTCCAGTAAACAGAACTCCCACTTATTTAAATCCAAGAAATTAGAGAACAATAGATTACAACTTCATCTCTCAACGTTCACACAGAGTGGGTATTCCAAAATGCCTTGCCTTCTCCATTGTCTCCCTAGGCTCTCTTCCGCTAATCCCGCTGTCAGGGATGTTTTCTCTGTAATTTCTTTGCTGGAAGAGCCGGTGGTACCTTGGATGGTGATTTTTTTTTCATTTAGAGAGCATAACGCTTTTGCGCGAGAGCTCGGTTTATTTCTCAGACGGCAGGTTTGCTTTCGCTCCACACAGCAGTGGGCTCTCATCCCGAATTCCCAAAGAAAGACCCCTCTTCTTATATACCCCCAATGACACGCCGTTATATGATTGGTTTCGGGTTGTCAGGTCAGTTTTAAATTCAGTTTAGTTTCCGTTCGCTGAGTGCCTGTTTAAATTAATTTTTTCGGCCAGGCTTGTCACCAAAGCAGCAAAATTAGACCCCTGGTTTTGCCCGCCAACCTTTAGATACACATGGGGCTCTCTGTACACTCTGTGCAAACTTCCAAGCACAGAAAAAAGACACAACCTTTTAAAGGAACCGTGCACTGCGTTTCCCCACTGATATTTTTCACCAACAAGTTCTAACATCCTGTCTTCCAATTCTCAAATACTCTACGCTTTGTACATGTCGCTGCCTGGCACTTAGAACATAAGAACTAGGAGCAGGAGTAGGCCGTCTGGCCCTTCGAGCCTGCTCCGCCATTCAATAAGATCATGGCTGATCCTTTCGTGGACTCAGATCCACTTAGCCGCGTTCTCACCGTATCCCTTAATTCCTTCATTGCTCAAACAAACACTATCTTTTCTTTAAAAGCATTTACTGAAGTAGCGTCAACTACTTCACTTGTGTGACACTGTTGTTACCAACTTGCAGCAGAGTGCCCAAGCCGTTAGCATGAGTGATAATCTTGTCTCTTCCTTCTCAGAAACTTCTCGATCTGGCCCAACAAACCGGAGAAGCTATCGACCTGGATCCCATTCAGGTGCGGATGGATCTTCCAAACTACATGCATAAGGGAAACCAGCACAAGCTCAGAGAGGACCCCAGACAGGACGGGCACAGATACACACAGACACAGACACACACACACACTCTCTCACACACACACACAGACACACACACACTCTCTCTCACACACACACACACACACACACACACACAGACACACACACACTCTCTCTCACACACACACACACACACACACACACACTCACACACACACACTCTCACACACACACACACACACAATCACATGCGCATACACTCACCTTCACACGCACACACTCTCACACACATACACACTCTCTCTCACACACA